ATGCACCTGGGTCACAGAGGAGACGTGAAGTTAAATTTTCGTAGTGGTAATGTAGATAAGGCAAATTTGAATTTTTCCATTACAATTACTAGGTTACTTATATTAGTTTTGAGTAGGCTTCGAAGCTATCAGTAAATCTTGAACAAGAGTTTCATACATCGAACGACACCAGATGCCTTTTTGACCGGGAGAAGAGCGAATATCTGGTATGAGCTCAAAAGAAGAATGTCTGGCCGTTGATCTAAGGCCAGACCTGGGATTTACCACATTTCGAAAAGCTACATTACGTGTGCAAAAGCGACCGATAAATTTTCATGACGAATTCTAGGATCATGAAGCACAATTCGGAATAAGTTTTCGAGGTCAGTTCTTCAAGGAACTGATGGATGTTACCATAGCGTAAAATGCATAAAAGAGAAAATAGTGATAATAGAAAGTCACCGAAAAAGAGTAGCAGAAGTAATCTGGATTTTTTAATGAAACTCCAAAAGCCGACGTCTGCATCGGGAAAATCAGTTTTTTTTCATCTGGCCCTAGCCAATCGCTAGCCACAAATAAACAATTTAAAAGACGGATTTATGATAAGAATAGATAAGGCTTGATGTCCATTCAAAAAGACTAATCGCAGTCTTTTTTTAGAGTTCAATGAAGTTTAAGAACGCACTGCCCTCACCAATCAACAAAGACCGGAGCACAAACAATCAAGACGGAATACTAGTTGATTATTTTGCATTTTTTTCACAGTTCCAAACTAGGATCCAGTATACATAACGAATTGGTGACTGGTCTAAGGGCTAACTAGACATCAGTATGGCTGTTGTCGGCGTTTTGTCACGGTCCCAGGAGTTGAGATTAAACGAGTCTAAAGAGGTTGAAGTGGAGAGCTGACGACTATTTAAGGCAACTCAACTTATGAACCAGAACCTACTTCTCCCAGTTCATATAAAAAAAAATAAAACAGAACATCCTACAGAAAGAGAACGGCGAAGGAATTTAGACAATAAAGCAAGAAAAATGAGACAGACAATTCGTTTTTTTGACAAGCTTACTGATTCAAGACATCTAAAGGGAGGAAATAGCTGATACCAAGGCATGGGCACCCAAGAAGTGGGGAAGAAAGACTCGAATTCACTACGTTTTCCGAGTTTGTAGCTCTTACTTTTTGAAATAAGATGAGAAAGTTTATGTCTGTTGGCAAATGCGAGACGGGAATGTAGGTATTGCCAAATAAGTTATCTGAGGCTTTATGAGAGTGGAAGAGTAGGGGAAAAGCTAAGACTGAGCGTCAGCCGCTCAGCAGAGCAAATTTACAATTCCGACTCCCAAAACGAAGGGAACAGGGATTGTAGTGATGATAAACTGGACAGATAATCTCGCAGAGACATTTACGGCAAACCCATAGTTGGGCAGATATTATTTGGACTAAGAAGCGTGGTTGAAAGGCGGGAGAGCATAAAATGAACTTTAACAGGGGTCCATAACAGAGGCACTACACACCAGGAAGGAAGCAAGACAGGAAGTGAATGATGTAGCGCTCCGATCGAAAAGTGCTCAAGCCTCGCAAAGCACTAATTAGAAAATCCTCACAATCTTGAAATAAAACAAGCCAACTTACAAATGAAAATAAAAATAACGTCCTAAAATTCCAACAGAAGAGCAAAAACAAATATTTATAGAAAAGCCTACTTATGTCCAATAGTAAGAATTAGATTAACCAATCAGAGAAAAACGTCCAGAGGAATCATATACGGAAAAAAAAAATTACAGTAGCCATAGGAATCATATAGAGCATGTGTCGTCTAGCATCAGAGCATAACTGGAAGAAAGAAGCTTCTACGAACCATGTGGCAGGAAGAGAGATAAAGAGATAATAAAAATAGACGGAGATAACTGACGCTAGGGGGTACATAAGAGAAGGAAAAAGAAGCTGATGAAATCATAAACCTCGTATAAAATAAGTGATAACCCTTACCTGTGAGACAACCGGGTCAATGGTGATTCCCGAGAACCAGAAGCTTCGCTCCTCTTTTTCCTGAAGAGTTGATAGCGGAGGCACAGAGTTCCTGAGGCAGTTAAAAAAAGGGAGATCGAATGGACATAGAGGAACGACGCATCAGTTAGGAAGGGCATGGCACATAAAATTAATCCCTACTACAAATATGAACCGAAAGAGATCTTTCTTGTCTCAGAGCATGGCTATATTCCATGAGTCCCGAGTTTTGAATCTCGTTGAGGAGAGGAAGAGATAGGGGCACAGTAGAAAGTGAAACCCAGACTGGCTAAGGAAGGCGTTTTAGAGACTCGCAAAATTAAGCCTTCTCCCCATTGGATCTCAGCTTTTGATTGTCAGTGACGCACAATAAGAATCGTTCGGCGGCATACCTGCTGAGGGTTGGCTTCAAATACTGCTTGATTTATTGTAAATGAAGTTAGCAGGTGATGAACAACAACCAAATAAAAACCGTGCAAGTATACTGAAGGATTCGAAAGCGAATTAGTCACGCTTTAAGAGGTTGGCACAGTTGAGTAGACGAACTTCATATAAATGGTTTTCTAAGAAAATGCTAATAATTTAATTTGATTCAACTTGTCATTTAAAAGTAAAAGTTCGTTGGAAGGGCCTCGTAAGCTGGCTTCGCTAGAAGCTATAACGTTTGGCTTGCATACGACCCATAGACCAGAATCACACGCATATTCCAACGCGAGGCCAAGTAAGTAGATTTCCAAATAATCAGTATATCCTGAGTGAAAACTCAAGTCCCACCAGGAAAATGTGATTTAAGAGAGTTCTAATTTGCCTAAAAAATCACATCAATCCCGTGATCCAGTGGCGTCCGGGGCTCTATGGCGGAGTGAAAAGATTGCATATCGATGTGCACTAGCCGGTACCGAATCCCGCAGAGTGCTGACAAATCCAGCCAGCCTGGATGAAAAAGCCTTTTTCGAGGCAACACCATGTGGGATTCAATGGTATCTATAAACCTTTTGCCAATTTTATTGTGAGAAATGCAGCCTCAAGTCCTTATCTCACTCTAGATGAATAAGTGACTTGAGGCTTTATTACATTTAAGCAAAATGCCCAGTTAGTAGTAAACGATGTCAGCAATAAAACAAGTTTAACTGTAATACTAATTCAGTTGTTATATAGACTATATAAAAAAGGGTCGGTGGTAAGTTTGGTCAACCTACTCTATTTGGTCGGCCAGTCGGCGCAGACATCCTAGGATGGCGGTCATAGCATCTGCACACCAGCCCGGAAAGCGTTCCTGAACTTCGGCTGCACTCAGAAGCTGTAGTGCCGACGAGCAAGATGAAAAAGTTAGTGATGTTGGG